GATAAAATTGGAGATTTTGCCATCCCTGCAATTACTGGCACATTAGGCTGAAGAACAAACAGAGGGAAGGTTTACAAGAGTTAAACATTTGGTCACTTCAATTGTGGATTTGCAAAAACACTTTTATCTTGCTGGCTGTATCTTCTACCTTTAGATATTTATTTATTCAATATCTATAGTTACCCATTTCAATGACTCTGGTTGTCTCAAAATATATTACAGGTAAAAATATTAAAAACATTTTAAAAATAGTAAAAACAGCAAAACTAATAGAAACACCCAAAGCATCCAAATTAAATGGCCGTAATTAAATAACGCCTAGGTTCCTGTTCTGGGCACGCACGTCAAAGGTGTGACCGCTTTATGTGCTTCTTTGATGATTAAAAACCCCACACCCACAATAATTGGGCCACGCGGTGCAATTTCCCCAAGGAGGCGGAAGGAATTCGGGCAGCCTCCATCGCGGAGCCGGCCAGGTCGGCCAAGGGCTCCGGCGGGCCCTCCGGGGGCGTCCCAAGCGCTTGACTCAGAGGAAGCCGGCCGGCACCCACAATTAGCAGCGCCGAGGCGGCCCCGAGGTCTCCGCCGAGCCGGACGGGATTCCTGGCGAGCCGGGCCCGGGGCGGAAGCGACTCCCTCGCCGGGGCTCTTCGGGCTCCCCGTCCGGCTGGCCCTCCCGGCGTTTCCAGGGCCAAATCCAGCCCCGGGCGGGAGCCCCTCCCCAAGTGGACGGGGGCTGGGAGGGGGAATCCCCTGCCGTTGCCCGACAAGCAGCGCTTCCCCTCCTGCCCGGCCGGGGGGAAATGGGTGGAGGTCCCGGGGAGGGCAAGGGCGGGAGGAGCCGCTTGCATGGCCTCTCGCGCGTCCCGGGTTCTCCCCTTTGCCAAAGCGAGACCAAAGCACCCGCACACACACACACACACACACACACACACACACACCCCGAGGCCTCCGCTGCTTTAGCGGTTCCTTTAACGGAGGCGAGGCCACCCAGGCGCTCTTTTGTCAGGCTTCTCTCGAGCAGGCGCTTGTGGGTGCGGTGTGTTTGCACAGTGTCAGCTCGCTGGAAGGAAATCCCCGGGTGTGTCCTGTGGGGCCAGCGGGCCTTTCCAGCGTCTCTTTCCTCCAGAGCAGCCCCTGAGCCCCCCCCCCCCCCCCCGCTCTCTTGAAACCAGCCCTCCTGGGAAGAAAGCGGGCAGAGAAATGGGAAGAGTGCAGGAGAGGAGGTGTGGGCTGTGGATGCTCCCCCAGTCCCTTCCCTGCCAGCCCCGCCCTTGGCATTGTGATGGTGCGAGTGCCGCGCGGGGCGTTGATGAGGTTTCCAGGCTGCTTGGTTGATGGGACGGTGGAGCTTGGCTTGGCCTCGTGGCCACCTGTTGCAAGCTGAGAAGGTGCCAAAGTCGGTGGAGGCAGGCAGAGCCCAGGGCTGCAAAGGCCGCCCTGCCCCAGCCTCCTCCTCCTCCTCTGAGCGCCTGTGAAGGAGCAGCCCTGCCCTGCCCTCCTGGCGCACTTGCCGCCTGCCTTGGCCCCAGGTGGTCTTTCCTGGTGAAGGAGGGGAGCACCCACACATCGGGAGGGAAGGCAGCTTTCCCAAGAGGCCGCTTGTGCAGCTACGAAGACTTCCTTCCTTCCTGAGTGCTCCCTGCGCTGCCTCTGCTGATGGTCCAGTCCCGTTAAAGTGAAGGCCGTTGCACGCAGAACAGTCACTTCAAGAGGAGGATCAATTCTCCCCCCCCCCGCAAGACTCAGAACCCCTCAGAATAGCACCTCGCTAAATGTGGTTGATGAGTCCAGGTCACCTCCAGCTTCCCGAGGGTCAATTAGGCCATCCCCGATTGTGGCTGCTGCTCAGTTCTCTCTCCCATGAAACCCCTGAAGCAAAACCTCCTTGGCAGGGCTGCACCAGTGTCAGTGTTGTGCCCCCCCCCCCCCCACACACTTACTAGGGACCATGTCCTGGACCTGGAGGTTCCTAGCTGGTTCTCTAAGTCAGGAGTCTCCATCCTTGGCAACTTGAAGACTTGTGGACAGCAAAGCTGGCTGAGAAATTCTGGGAGTTGAAGTCCACAAGTCTTAAAGTTGCCAAGGATGGAGACCCCTGCTCTAGGTCCGTGGTCGCTGACCAGTGGGCTAGGGACCACTGATGGTCCATGAGAAAATTTTGGTGGTCTGCAGAGAAATGTCACCCCCAAAGCAATTAATCCAGGCTGTGCAGGAACACAAGGCTGCTCCGCCCACATGGCCCACATGGGAACACAAGGCTTGCGTCACATTGTGAACAACACGAGGTAGTGACGGGAGGGGGGAAAGGGAGGAGGGGGGGAACTTGCCCCACACGCCTGGCCTGGCCACTGGGCTGCTTCTTTCCACTTCTTTCTTCTTCTGCTTTTGGCTGCAAAAGTCTTCCTTTCTCTCCCCCAAACTCTGCCAGAAATGAATCTTTGGGACCCTGCAAGGTCTCCTGCTCCGAGAGGCTGAGCCGGCATGACAAGTCTTCCAAAGACTCCTTTCTGGCAGAGTTTGGGGGAGAGAAAGGAAGACTTCTGCAGCTTCTGCTACTTTCCTTGCATGAAGCCAAAAGTCTCTCTCTCTCCCCCCTGAGAACGGAGCTGGAGACGGTATCCTGTGATCCCAAATAAAGAATGATTGATTGGTAGGAAAACGGGGTGGGGAATTTTCCTGCAGTCTTTTTTGGGGGGAATTTCCCAGGGCCTCTGGTTCCCGGGCTTTAAAATTATGAGTTTGGCGGTCCCTGAGATCCAAAAGGTTGGCGCTCTGCTCTAGGTAACACCATCAGTGCTTGGGGCGGGGGGGTTTGCTCTCATTGTGTTACAGCACTGATAATGTTCCCTAGTTTGGTAATGAAAGGTCTCTAAGAAAACCACTCAGCTCAGAGAGCACCAAGGACCCCACAATTCCTGGCTGTTTCTGGAAAATGCCGCTGAGAGGGAGACGGAGACGGAGAGGCCTGCAGGGTGAAGTGGAGGGTGCTGGAGACCCCCGGCAGAAGGGGGGGCAACTGATCTCTGCTGCCCATGGCTCACAGCTAAAGGTCCACCCACCGCAGGGTGGAAACGGAGGCTGGCATCCCTGCCCAGCCCAGGTGCTGAGGGCCAGGGAATGGCACAGCGGGTGCCCAAATGGAGTCAGAGACGCTGACACAAACATGTAGTTTTTTACAAATAAATATGTTTTATTTCTATACTGACCGCAGGCAAGACAGGCACATCGCTACATCATCAGGTAAATCTTCAGGTAAATCACAGAATTCAGAGCACACAGAAGAAAAAAAGTGTGTGTGTGTGTGGGGGGGAGGAACTTCCCCCTTTACCCCCACAGCAACCAATCAGGGCACAGATTGCCTCCTGCTGGAGCCCCTCCCCGCACTCTCCAACCAATCAGCTACAACTTGTAGACTTTACTCTTCCAGCCACTGAGTTGAAAGATCCTGAGATGCTCCATCCTGGAGATTTCTCCCTGGCTTCCTTGGGGGGGGGGGGGGGGGGGGGGGGGAGAAGAAACGGCCTTTTTAAAAGAAAGGACTGATCCTGTCATTGCTGTGTTTATGGTTCCCTGGCTGTTCTGGCGGCCTCTGCCGTGGCAAAGCCCCCCCCCCCCCCCCCCGGAGGTCCGCCCCCCCCCCCCCGTGCTTTGCGGCTCAGGGCAGCGGGCCAACTGGGAGCGGAACTGGATCCATTCTGCCCCCTTCTGAGGTTCGCCCGTCTGGCTGAAGTGCTGCGTGAAGGGCTCCTTAGGCTGAAGGATGCCCCCGTTCCCTGCAGCCCTCCGGTACCCCCTCTCCGACTGTTCGCCCTCCTGCCAACCTGCGCCCGGCAGGGGCAAAGGGATGGCGGTGCAGGTCGGGGCCTTGAGCGCCAGCCTGGGGTTCCTGGGCCTGAGCCCCCCTCCCTCCCTCTTCTCTGGCTGGGGGTCCAGGCCCAGCCCAATTGGTCCAGCTCCTACTAGAGGGCCTTCTCTGCTGGAGAGGACGAGCCTTTGCGGACCCACAGGCAGCGCTGGGATTCCCATTTTTTTACTACCGGTTCTGTGGGCGTGGCTTGGTGGGCATGGCAGGGGAAGGATATCTCGTAAAACCCCCCCTGCTTTCCAGCTCCCTTCTCCTGTGCAGGGCAACCAAAGAAGACGCAGCCAATCAGCTGGGACCCAATGGGAGGCAGAGAAGAGATGGGCTTGGCTGGTTCTCCCAACTACTCAAAATTTCCGCTACTGGTTCTGCAGAACCGCTCGGAGCCGGCTGAATCCCATCTCTGCCCACAGGGAGGCGCAACCCACCCTCCCTGCAGCTGCCAGGGGGATTCTGTCTGGATTGGAGGGGGGCAGGGGGGCTGGTATCAAGCCCTGTGGGCTGTCTATACAGCCAGAGTGGATAAAGCCCCCCTTCCCCCTGCACCAGGCCCTCCTAGACTTTGGGCTGCACCCCGTCCCACAAGAGGCCGGCCTTCTGGGCCAACCGATGGCAGAGATGTTTACTCAAGTGGTTGAACAAAGTGCCGTAGAGTCCTCGGAGCCAGGAAACGCCTTCCGGCACACCAGGGAGGGAGGGGCAGGGCCACCCCCCACCCCGCTGAAAGTTGGGAGCTTTGGAGCCCCCAGGGCCCAGGGGAGGCTTCCCACGTGGCTGAAGAGGGCCACCAATTAAGAACAGCCCAGGATGCTCTGCTCAAACATAGGAGACGCTTCATATTTGAGGCCTTTCGGTTTCTTGGAAACAATTCAAGTTGTGCTGAAACATTCGGTTTCGCAGTGTAATCTGTGTGGTGGTGAGATTTTGCTCTTGGGAGGCTGCCAATGTTTGGGTAAATAGTTACAAAACTCAAGTCACACCTTGTGATAAAATTCTGGTTCGGACATGAGATCTGCTTCCCCAGCCCAAAGTCTGCACAGGCCCTTCCGCAGCCAGCGTCACCCAGAGGCGGGAGGAGCCACGGGGGCCGTCGTCCACTCTGGGGGGTGGGCATGTGTCCTCCTCCAGCCTGGCTCCACTGATGCCGCCCTTCCTCGGAGGGCCGGGGGGAGAGGCTGAGCAAGAGGCCCAGGCGCTCGGGCAGAGGAGGCCGCAGTCGCCCAGAGGGTCCCCCTTGACCAGAGCCAGCCCGCCGGTGACTTCTCCAGCCCCGGCCTGCAACCTTGGAGGGCTCCCACGCCAGCCCCTCGCCCATCCCCAGGGTGCCCGGCTTGGCTCCGGAGGAGCGACTCTCTCCCCCTCTGGCTCCATCAGGGACAGGACGGCTCCCCCTCCTTGGATCAAGGAGGTCAGTCCAGCTGCAGGTCACAGTGGGTCCTTCCGCGCTGGGGCTTCCGGCTCCACCTCTGAAGACACCAGGAGTTGCAGTCCAACAGGCAAGTGGTCAGAGCAGGTGGCCAGCTGGGTGAAGAAGAAGACCTTCTCCACCGCCTGCAAGCAAGGAGGGGACACAGCAGCAGGAGGGTTGAGAGTAGCAGAGCAACGGCCCAGGAGGGGACCCAGAGGGGAGACCCTGGACTGCTTGGCCCGAATCCTGCATCGTTTCAAGGGTCCTGAAGGCCGCCTAGCCAACCGGCTGCTCAGGGCAGACTCGGGGTGTGGAGGCACCTTCCGTCCATTTCCAGAGCCATCGGTTGCAGCCCCCTACTCTGCTATGGCCCAACTTACTCCCAACACCAGCCAAGCCTGCCGGTTCCCTCCTGCACCCCTTCCCCAGAGACCCTCCTCCCTCTCTCCTTGGCCCCTTCCAGAGAGCCCTTGGAAAGGGGGAAGGGGCCTTCTTCTGGAAGGAGGGGAAATCCGCCTGGGTGGGATCACTGCTCTTATGGAGACCCCCACCCACTTCTCTCCCCTTTAACAACCCCCACACACACACTTGTGGAGGCTGAGGGGATGGTGAGAACTACCTGACCGGGGGGGGGGGGGGGGATTGGCCCGGTGGGGGGGGGGGGGGGGGGGGGGGGAGGGGGGGGGGGGGGGGCTCTGCAGGCCAGGGGGACCTTCCTGTCCAGGGGTTCACTACTGGCATCAAGTGGACCATTTTGGAATTGACGGGAGAGGCCTCCCCGTGACCTGGGAAAAATGGTCGCGGGGGGATCACGGATCTGATTGCTCAACTCCAAAGGACCCGATCCACCAAGAGAGCAGCTGGCTGGCCGCAGGTGGAGGACCAGGAAATGCCAAGGCTGCTGCTGCTGCTGCACCTGCGCTCACCCAGGAGATACTTTCCAACGCCAAGTGCAGGAAGGCATCGCCACGAGAGAGAAACGCCGGGTGGGCCTTGCACAAGGCTGCATTCGCCACAGGGCAGAGATTGGCCCACGAGGACCGTCTACCTGGACTCGATCCTCAACACGAGGGGAGGAGGCCTGGAAGTCCAGCCCTGGTTCAGGTTGGCATAAACGATGCTACGGCCACAGCCACCGTGCCTGTCCTAGCAAATGCCACCTTGCGTGGGAGGGCGTTACTCTGGGCTTACTCGGGAGGGAGGACAGCTCCGCTCTCGGGGGTGCCGGTGTCCCCTAGGGCGGGTGGGCTAAAGGGGCGTCCTGGGGCTCCACAGAGAAAGCAGCTGCCCAGCAGAGAAAAGGGGCGCCCCCCACCTCCCCTGGGAACGGATGCCCTGCACAAGGAGGGCGGTTTCGTGTCTTGGGGGGGGGGTGAGAACCGCGAGGTGAGCCGAGCAGACCAAGCACAGGAAGCCGCTGCTGGGCCCATTTCTCCAGGAGGCAAAGAGAGGCAAAGAGAGGCCAAGGCTGACTGCAGGCATTGAGCAGGGGCTGGCACGAAGGCGGGTTTTCCCACCACAAGCTCCGCCCCCAAAGAGCCAGAAGCCGGTGCCAATACCAGCAGGGAGGCCCCTCGGTGGGGCAGCCTTGCCAGGCCCTGCTGCCCACAGTCCTGGAGTCCTTGGGCCTGGGTCCGGCTCCGGGCCCCTCTTCCCTCACCTGCTTCCCGCCCTTCCTTTTCCTTCAGCCCTCCGACTGCAGAAGGGGCTCACCTGGTCCAGAGGCATCGTGTGTCCAGACGAGAAGGCAGCTCCGGGGGCGTCTTGTTTGGCATGGATCCAGCCCCTTCTTGGCACCCCCCACCCCCGGCCTCTGCTGCCCCCCCCCCCGCCCCCCCCCCCCCGCCAATGCTGCCCCGACCACCACAGCCTCCCCAGACTGGTGCTTGCTCAGCAGGCCCAGGAAGGCATCGACCCCTCCCAACCCCCGACTCTTTGCCGCCCCCTGCAGCCCAGAAGACCCGGAGAGCCCCCTCCCCCCAGTCCCTTTGGCCCAGCAGGGGAGGCTGACCCAGCTGCCTCAGCTGACCACAGGCTCTCCAGCCACTTACGGTCTTCAAGTGCCCTGGACGCCAGTGCTGCCGGTAGAGAGTGTAATCAATGCGCCGCCCTTTGTGCCAGGTTGCCAAGAGGTTGGCGCTGCCCTCGGCCTGGAGGGGGCCTGCCAGGTACTTCCTGCGCTCCTCCGGATTCTCCAGAGTCCTGGAAGGCAAAGCAGAGGGGTGAGGGGTGGAGGGCTGGGCAGCTTTAAGGAGTCTAAGAAACAAATCAATGTTGGGATCTTCTAGTCGTTCCAAGTGCTGCCGAATGAAGTGCCTGGTGCCTGTTTGAAGACATGCGCAGAAGGAGAACTCACCCCTTCAGGGGGCAGGCAGTTCCACTGGCTAATGGCTCCTATGGTCGGGAGGTGCCTCCTCCTCCTCCTCTCTAACCTAATCCCCCCCCCCCTTTGGTTTCCGCCCATGGCTCAGGCCCTGCCCTCCGGGTGGCTGAAGGCTGCGACCCCCGTCTTCCCTTCTTCGTCCCAAAGGTCCAGACTGGCCCTCATCCCTTGGCAGCCCTGCCCCCCCTCCCCCCTCTGCCCCAGACGTGGGCTCTCCTGCTCCAGCTGCCCCTGCCCAGCTCAGGCCCCTCCCTCCTCCCGCCTTCTCCCCCAGGGACAGAAGCCGCCCCTCCCAGCCCCTGGCAGAGGCTTCCCCCGGGGGTCAGCCAGCCTCCATCCTTGGACCACATTTAGGCCTCGATCGGGAGTGGGGGAGGGCGAGGTGGGCCTTGCCTTGGGCCCCCAAGTCCCCATGAGGGACCCTCGGCCTCTCTCGGCCCCAGAAAGAGGCCAGCACGGGCAAGGAACCGTGCCAAGGAAACGGAGGGGCACCACCAGGCAGCTGCCAGGATTGGAAGCTGGTTTGGGGGTGGGGAGCAGGGAGGCAGGCTGGGATTGGCTGCTGTCAGATCAGGCACGGCCTTCTCCCCCCCCCAGAAAGAAGCCAACCCGGCATGTCATTCAAGGGGGCCCCTGTTTCTGCCCCCCCGAGATCCCAGGATGGGCCCCAGGCCCCTCACCTCTTCAGGCTCTCTGGGGTGGCCACGGCTTCGTCGTAGATGCGCAGCGGGTTCATCAGCGTCCCTGTGAAGGGCAGGAGGGTCCCACTGGCCTCTCGCCCACCACGGGGCCCTTCCCTCCCTCCCTGCCCAGCCGCTCCAGTCACCCCCTGGGCCCAGCAAAAGGGTGGAGCAGACCAGCCCCCCCCCGGGTCAGAGAGGCCCCCCGGGTGCGGGGCTCACCCACCGATGGCCCAAGGCTCATCCTGGCAAGGACCGAGGCGGCAGGGGTCAATGTACCGGCTGAAGATCTCGTGGCCTTGTTCCATGGCATCACCTGAGGAGAAAGAGGGGCCTGAGACAGCCAAGCCAGGAGGGAGGCCCCTCCCCTGCTTCGGGCTCTGCGTCCCCCTCCCGGACACCCACCTGGAGAGCAGGTGTCGAAATTGAGGTCCCCACAGAAGATGTCGAAGGCCACCACGTCCCCCGGCTGCGCATGGCTGTCTTGGAAGAGCTGCGTCCAGCGTAGGGAGAGGTTCAGCTGCTCGTGCCGGATGGGCCCATCCGCTGTGGGAGGGGGAGGGCAGCCGCATCAGCCTCGGCGGGGGGGGGGGCTCCCCTCTGCGCTCTGCTCCACCAGAGCGGGGGGGGTGGGGTGCGGGGAGACTGCCCAGCAGGCCAAGAGAGCCATGGGGGGGACGCCACCCCCAGTGCCCCCCTCGCCCCCTCCTCAAGCAGGCAGGGCAGGGGGGGAGAGGGACGGCAAGCGGGGAGCCGCCTTCGGGGGAAGAAGGAGACCCAGAACCCCCCCCCGTCTCTCTGCTTCGCCGCCAGGCTTCCTCTGCCAGGAGAAGACCCTGGGCGGCCATCACAGGACAGAGGTGGACCATGAGATCATCTAGTCCACCACATCTCTGACAGGGACCGTCCGGCCTCTATGCGGAGCCCTCCAGGGAAGGCAAAGGCAGCGCCGGTTGAGAGTCTACAGAGGTTCAGCACATCTGGCCTGGACCTCCCCCTTTCTCCCTCTCTCCAGGGACTGACCCCCAGCCCTGCTCTCCAGCCCTCCCTGCCTTGGCTCTGCAGGTGCGGCCCCTGGAGGGCTTCGCTCCCGCCCCTACCTTCAGGGGCCTGCAGGTGGGTGCAGTTCAGGTATCCAATGACCCTTCGCCCTTGGCAGGCTCCCAGCTGCACCTGAGTGGACAAAGCAGGAACACAGGTGAGCCTCCGTGGATGGGGTGGGCGGGAGAGGCTTTCTGAGAGGAGACACCCCCTCAGGTTGGGGAGTCCACGGAGGTACACTCGACCTCACTAGGGCCCCCAGTGGGAAGACCTTCAGGTCACGGGGACCCCTTAGGGGCCTTGGGTGCTGCCCTGGATCGGCACGTGGGTCTCGTGGCATCGTATCAGTCTGTGGTTCCAGAGATGGGGCAGCCCTGCAGAAGGAGCCCCCCCCCTCCTTTGGCTTCAAGCAGGTGTGAGAGACTGGCCACAAGGGGCAACACGGACAGCAGGACCCTCAGGGGCTGCCAGGCAGCATTTAAGCCCATGCTGAAACCCCAGGGGCCCCACCCTGGCACGGGGGGGGGCACATGGTGGCAGGTCCCGCTCATGCCCCTCCCTTGCCCAAGGAGGCCCCGGCTGGCTCACCTGCACGCACAGCAGGCCCTTGGCGCACAGGGCATCCTCTCCAGTGGCGTTGGGGTAACAGTGGAACTCCACGGCCAAGAGAGGGTAGCGGCTGGCCAGGAAGAGTCCGCTGTTCAGCAGCTTCAGAGCGGAGCAGCCCTGCAGGCCATAGGTGCCCACGTCATGGATGATGTGCTCAAACTGGGGGGCCAGGAAATGGCGCAGGTGGGCAGAGGCCCGGAGGTCAAAGACCTCCTGCAGGCACAGGAGGTCCAAGTTTGGAGGGCAGCGGACGGCGATCTCCCCGGGCCCGTTGGCCTCCCCTGCCACGGCCCCCACCTCCTCCACGGGGAGCAGCTCCACGGTCACCACAGGGTCACCCCAGGGGTGGCCCAGGACAGCGGCAGGCCCCCCCGGCAGCCCATGTGGCATGGCCAGGCCATTGGGGGCCCCGGTGGGTGCACAGGGCGTAGAGCATTGTGCCGCTTGTGCCAGACTCTGGCCGATGTGCCTGGCCCGCCATTGGGTTCGCCAGACGTTGCTGAACTTGGCCAGCCCCTCAGGGAGCAGGCAGACGTTCCCGCTGAGGAGGCGGAGGGTCCTGGCCGGGCCAGGGAGCGCCCAGGCTTCGGGACGGGCTCGGCCGGGGGTGTGCTGGTAAGCGAAGGGCCGCCGGGCGCCCTGCAGGGGCAGCCAGAGGAGGAGGGCCAGCAGCGAGACGGGGCTGTAGAGCAGCAGCAGCAGCAGCAGCAGCGGCCCCCGGACGGCCACCTCCAGGCCGTAGGGCGCGCAGCGGGGCTTCTCCCCCGTGCACCGCTGCAGGGCCAGCACTTCGTTCGCTAGCCAGTAGCCGGGGAACAGCAGGGCCCTCATGGTGGTGTCCAGGCCCCCCAGGACGCGGCTGGAGTACGGCGACTCCCGGAGACCCATGGCAGGAGGGCGGCGGCGGCGGGGGGGCGAGTCCCGGAGTGGCTGGAGATGCTGCCGCGGACGCCTCCGGTGCGCGCTGCGCAAAGGGGAGAGAGAGCGAGAGCGAGAGGAGCGCGTGAGCTCCGCAGGCAGCCTGGATTGCGGCTCTCGCCCGCTGCGCGCTTGGAGAGGCTCGCCTGGCCTTTGCGAGGAGCCGCAGGACCGGGGGAGACGGAGGTCCGAAACCCCGCGGCGAGCTCCGCACTGACCGCTGCGCCCTTCGGGCTCCACCCGCCGACGCACCGGAGCGACCCAGCCGCGCTAAGCGCTGCCGGCGGGGCTGGCAGCTGGGACGCTCGGCCGGCCTGCGGGGGGGGGGGGGGGGGGGGGGGGTCTTCTCGGGCCGCGGGGGCGCCGTGCGGGGGGGGACAGGGGGGCTTTGGGCGACAATGGGGGGGAGGCTCCAGGGGGAGCGGCTGCCGGCATCGAGGGGCGGCGGGGAAGAGGCTGAAATGCTGCTAGGGGATACTCAGCCCTCACCTCCACCCCCACCGCCGATGCGCCTTCTAGAGCCGGAGCTGTGGGTGCTGAAATGAGGACCCAGCGCGCAGAGACCGGCCGGAGCTCTTGGGCGGCGCTGGCTGGCAGGTGGCAGCCGCCGCCTGGTGAAGGAACAGGTGACCCGGCTGGTTGCATTCTTGGCCTACCTTTCAGGGATGTTGTATAGGGAAATAAAAGATGCCCTGCAGATTCCTTGCTGAGTGGCGGCGGCGGTGAAGTCAACTCCAGCTTCCGCTTCTCTTAGCAGCCCTTTCAGACGTGGCTTTCCCCTCCTCCCTCTCCTACAACTGAGAACCAGGGGTCCCGAGTCACTGCGCTGGTTCTTGCCTGAGGCGGGGCTAGAACTCGCAGCCTCCTGGCTTCGTAACCCCTTGACCGATTGCTGTCTTGTCCTGCTGGGTGAGGGCGGCCCCCTTGACTCCTGGGGGCTCCCAGGGCAAGGTTTTCAGGAAAGTCCTCAAGGGAACGCCCTGCCGCCCCCCCCCGCCCCCCCCCCCAGTCTCAGCTGGGCTGGCCTCATGCAGGACCAGAAACTTGAACGAGAAATGCCCGGCCTCCCTGTGGCAAAGTGAGGCTGGTTTGTGTTCCCGACCAAGCGAGGATCCCAAACAGGACGCGGAAGGAGCCCCGAACTGGCTTTGCAAGCAGGAGGAAGCGAAAGGGCTCCGGAGAGAATGCCTCTGGCTCTAGGAAGACCCGGGACCTGCGCGGAGAGGCCCCTCTGCCCGCCCCCCCCCCCCTTGCCCCCCGAGCGACCGTAAGTCCCAGCGCCGCGGCTTCGCAACGCTCACCTCTGCCGGTGCCTGGCCGGAGCATCCACGGAGTTGCTCCGCGTGGCCGGAGCGGTCGGGGAACTGGGGCCGCGCTGGCCGGCAGAAGCACCTGCCGGCGGTCATGTGCTCCGCATAACTGAGCTGCCCGTCATGCCTCCCCAGGTGCCCGTCATGCTCCCGCTGAGCAAGGCAGGTCGGTCCGGCTCGCAAATTGCCCGCGACCAGACGCAGCTGACTAACAGGTCCTGCCTCGCTGGCTCCCCGGCCGATTACAGATTAACTTCCGCGCAGCCATAAACGCCGTGGACGAAAGTCTAAGAGGGAGGGAGGGAGGGGCAGACCCAGGGACCCTGGCCCAAGGGTCACTTCCAGGAGAAAGTTTCTGCCGGGGGCGGGAGAGAAGCCGGGGAGGGCTCTCTCTCCAGGTGCAGGCGTGCGCCTGCGCGTGCATGTTGGTCTGCCTGCTTGCCACAGGTGGAGCCTTGAGGGGACCTCACTTCCTGCTCTGCCTCCCCCTCCCCAGGGGCTTCCATCTCCCCCGCTGCGCCCCCCCCTCCCCGTCCCAGGAGCAGCCACTACCCCTTGCTGGCTGGGGCTGAGATTGGGGTTGTCGGTTGCGCTTTGCCTGCGCTTGCCCAGCTCAAGTTGCCAAGGAAGCCCTGTGGCCCCCCCAAGGTGTCCTGCTGAAGTTCGTGGGCAGAATTGCCAGAGGTCCAGTTTCTGGGAGAACCAGCAGGTCCAGAGGCCCAGAGGAGGTCAAGACTGCCTGGTGCCTGGCCTGGATTCCTGGGTGCGCAATCTCCCCCCCCCCCCCCGGCACCTCATTCCCTGCATTGCTTGCACTAACGAGGGCAATTCTCTAACATCCTCCCGCATTTCTGTGACCAACGGGCGGAAGAATGTGAGGCGATGCGGGCATGGCTGCCTCGTGGGGAGGTCAGCTTTCCTGGGTCTGGAGTCCCACGAGGAAGGCCCACCTGGTGGCGCTACAAAGCCCGCCCCCCCTCCAAGTCAGGGGGCCGCCTCCTGAGCCATTGGCCTCCTTCCTGCCCAGGCTTCCTCCCCAGGCACTGCAGACCCCCTCCAGCCTCCCCAGAAACCCCCAAGGGAGGAGGGTGGTCTGGGGAAGCCCATCCTTTCCCCGATGCCTGATTGAAATCCGCTTCCTGGTAACTGGAGCCTTCCTTTCTCGTCTTCTGGAGGGGCACTGAACACGCCTGGCCGCTTCTCGGGAGAGCCCCGCCGTGTTGCGCTGCCCTCGGCCAGATGCTTGCGACACTTGGGCTCTTGTGTAACTTTCTCTCCAGGCTGGGACCCTCCGGCCCGCTCTGCTCCTTCCTCCGCGTCCTAAACCCAGGGCCGGCCCTCTCCCCCCCCCCCAGGCAGGAGGATTCCTTGTCCTGAGCTGGGCTCCGCTTCCATCCGGACCACCCCCCTTAGGCGCTGCTTCCCGGCCAGGGTTCCCCTCCTGCCACGTCCAAAGCCCTTGACTTTCCTTGGGGGGGGGGGCAGGTTCTGTTTCTCCCTCTTGCAACCCTGATTTCTGCCCCATATTCCAGCTCCTAAAGTCTTCCCCAATGGTGAGACTGCACCCCCCCCCCCAAAGGCCGTTCTTTGACGAGCTCTTCGGAAACGTGTGGAAGGGAGCCTGCAGGGGCCACGCCACCCTTCGGCCGGTTTCACGTAGCCAGTCAGGCTCCCCAATTAACGACGGGCCCCCAAAGGGCAGCTCCTGGAAGGGCAAACCCTCTGCGTCTTGCCCTGGAACCGCCTGCTCCCTCCTTGGGCCCAGCAGAGCCCACAGCCGGGCTGCTGCTCTGACACCCCCCCCCCGCCTCGGCTGCTTCCAGAGCTGGCTGGGCTGCAGTGCTTCCGCCCCCCTCCCCAACTGCTAAGGAGGGGGGGCGCTGGGCAAAGGTTACCAGGCCTCCAGGTTTCTTCAATCCTTCTCGTTGTTTGGCTTCCACCGGGGCTCCTCACGGAGGTCTTTGGAGAATAACCTTGGGGGAGGGGAGGGGTGGCATGGATCTTTGCCCCCAGAAATGCCGCCTCCCTGGCCCTCTGGCGCAGGACTGCAGCTGAGCCGCTTGTGCCGGGAGTCCTCGACGCATGACTGGTGGCTTAATGACCGTTCAAAGTTGTGAGGGACTTTTAGAAGCCGTGGCCTGCGTGTCCCTCCCCCCCCCCCACTGCAGTCAGATGGGGGCAGCAGCCCACATCTGCCTGGCCGCAATTTGTGCAGATTCACTTAACGACCATGTGGTTCTATGACCAACTGCAGTGACTCACTTCACAACGGTTGTCAAAATGGTCCCTAAATCAATTCTGCTCACGTGCTGTCTCAGCCGACCCTTGCAACCATTTACGCCTGGACTTCTAGGCTCCGTTTTGGTCGTAAGGCGAGGACCCCCTGTGGGGGAACGCAGCCCCTCCTCAGCCTGAGCCCCTCCCTCTTTTCCCCAAAGAAAACCCTTTCCAAAGGAGAGCCCCCCCCCCCCCCCCCCCCCCCGTCCCCGTCTCCCTGCCGGGAGCTCTGGAGCCTCCATGCCACCCTCCACTTCCAGGACCTTCTTCCAGGCCTTGGGGGGGCCCTGGAGAGGCAGCCGTCCTGGAGAAGCTGCAGCCACCAGGGCGCTAATCAAAGGGGGGGGGGGTCACCGCTTCTTTGCCCCTGGGAGTCCTGCGCACCAACCACCGGTAGCAGCAGAGCCCTGGCAGGCACCTTCAGCCGAGAGGCCACAGCAGACAACAGGATCTGCCTGGCATTTGGGGAGCCTGGCAGGTGAGTCACTTCCCTGCCCAGCGGGGACTGGAGCTCCGAGGCTTCCTTGGCTCTGCTCAGCCTTCTCCAGCTGCTCCTCCCGTTCTCTGGGGGGGGGG